TTTATGGCAGGAAATTTGAAAGGGGAATCATCCTTATTTTGTACCGTATTCGGCTTCTGAAATTCTGATGTTGTGGAATCTTTTCCAGCTGGATTTTGTTCCCGATCTTGATTTTGAATCCCAGGCTTAGGTGTTAAGGAATCATTTTTAGATGGTGTATTTAGTAGAGCTTGATTTTTTTTTTACATCTTTTACCTGAATACCTTCTGATGATCCAGCCATTAATTTCTTTTTTCTGAAAAAATTACAAGCAGGATTAATATTCTTAGGTGTGCATTTTGTCATTTGAATAAACGTTCTGTATGAAATAGTATTAAGACCTTTAGCCTAATTTAGTTTGTCATTTTAAACAAGTTGTTTTCAAATACTTTTAAGTCCAAAATGTTAATTAAACTGTATATAATATAACTCTGATTAATGTTTTATAATTTAATTGCTAAATTGTGAAACATTGCGTAGTATTTTAGTAACTGATTTGAGAGTTTTACTTTTAAAATTAATCATATTTAAAAAAAAAACAGAAGGGAAGAACTCAAAATGCACTGTTAGTTGTTTCTGTGTATTGGTACGACATTAAGTTTACTTTGTTATGAAAATATGTAAAATTAAACAAGACGATAAAATCATGTATGCACAGTATTGAAAAAAAATTGAAAAGAAGCAAAAAAAATCAGTGACTTACTGATGCCTACAGATACAAAACGTTATAATGATGACAAGTAGGAGGGCTCCAAACACAACTCCAAGTACTATGCCGATAATCACTAGATCTATAATGTCAGAATGAACATCTAAAAAATGATATATCGTCAAAGAGTTGACTTAAACCAAAAAAAGCTATTTTATACTTCATTTACCATGCAATGCATTTCTGAGCACTAACTACTGCATTCTTAATTTGATAAATTATTACACCAAAATAACAAGCATTCTTTTAAGCACTTACTGCAATCAAGTCTTTTCATTGTAATTTAGCATCTAAATTCATTTTTTAATGCTATAAGTTTTTCAGTGCTCATATATACCTTCTTAATATTATAAAATATAATTTTAAGTTACATTTGAGTTTATGAATATATTTATTGTTTATCTTGTCATCTTTGTTCTTTTTGTCTTTTTGTTTAAATTAATACCATTAATTAATGAATCACTATGAACACTGTCTTACCATTGAAAATGCTTTTAAATTACTCGTTTTGTTTTATCACCAGTAATCTCAGCAGAATAAAAAGACAAATAATTATTTAATTTACAGATACATTTGATTTTCATTATTAATTTATTAGGTATATTTCATTAATCTAATTGTATGTTTACCATTAGTAAAGGTATCTGTTATATGAATAGTTGTTCCATCTGTTGTTTGTATAGTTGTACCATCTGTTGTTTGTATAGTTGTTTTATCTGTTTTTTGTATTGTTGTTTCATCTGTTGTTTGTATAGTTGTTTCATCTGTTGTTCGTAAACTAGTACTAGTTGTTACACCTGTTGAGTTTATAGGCTGGGTACCTGTAAAGAATTTTTTAAATTGAATTCGCTGTTTCTTTAAATTCTCAAAAGTGTAAATACTGTGAAATCATTAATTTCTGTGAGAGTCTCATTTTTGTTGATTTCGATGTTGTTGTTTTCGATGTATGGAGAGACACAGGAATTAATGACAACCACAATATTTATAATATCTTATTCATTACTACATACTAAACATTCTTCAAACACAAAATCAAGTCTCCACAAACCAATATTCTTCCCCCAACCTTGATAATTTGACCTCGCGAAAATATATGATTTTTAGTAACTCAAAGAAGAAGAAACCGAGAAAGCTTGTAGAATGATGGTATTTAACTATAAAATTGCATAATTACCAAAATAGTAAGAAACAGGACATGCAGACGGTTTTCTGAGAAAGTAAATGTCCCACAATTACGAACTTTGATGGTAAGTGAAGTCTCACAACAGCCAGAAAAACCACTTTGACATACCATGCGATCAACTTCACCATCAGACACAAGAGGCAGCGTTCCTAAGAGAATCGAAGATTTACTTTTATTGAAAATAAGTGACGTTAAATGTCCATTTCAATTCTGATTTGAATTACATTCTGTTTTTATAACTATGTAGACACAACTTTAAAAAAAAAGTTTTAAAATAATTTACATGATAAGTAAATTACAAAGTTATTAATGCAATTGTCAGTTCTATCATTACATGAATTCACTTACCATTCATCCATAACGGGAACATTGTGCCACAGTGGGTGATATTTGGACATGTCTGTACGATGTCGTTACCCACAGTACTGTTTATTCTGTACCATTTCTCCTCCAGGAAATTGTCACATATTGCAGGCACTGTAATGTCGTTTTGTAGAACGTAGGCAGAAGATCTCCTGATTTCACCCGATAGAGTGTCGTACGTCGAACATGGATTAGCTTTAATGATTGAAACGATGTCATTTATGCATACACATGTATCTATTAACTTTAACAAACCTAAACAGTGAAAACTAGTGGTACTATGAACAATGAGCTCTCTAAATGATACCCTCCACCTCACTTATGAATATAATGACAGTGTCCATGTTTTGCTATGGGTAACCCAAAAAAGTGTCGGATCAAAAAGTAAAATAGAAAGTGAACAATGGCAATATGTACATGTAAAAAGGATTCTTTGAAATTCTCTTCAAATATAACTCAGTGGTATGAGAGGAGTTGCGGATAAAAGATGGGTACCCCAAAGCGTAACAGACGAACAGACGGACGGACCTTTCGATTACTATACATCCTCCCGCTTTTCAAATAAGAATATATAACCGGTGCGAAGTAGGGGGCAGTAAGACCGGCCGCCAATTGTTCAGATGCACTTTTTCTAAGTTTTCCCGATTGGTAATGGTCTTTGAATGGTTGGTTCCTCTTTCCAATTTTGTTGTTGAATAAATATTGTTTACTCATGGTAATTTGGTACAGTATTAATAGGATTTGGAGAAAGAAGGAACTGCCCTTCCCAATACAAAATTCGACTTTAGATATGTTTGTTTTTGCTTTTATAATTTTAGGTAACATGCATACAAACGAATAACTTACAGAATACAACTGGATAGAAAGTTGTTAGGTAAAGGCAAACAAATACAATCCAGAGAAAATCCATGTACATATACTGAAACTTTATTTTATGATTCTTGGTCATATTGTTTGATGAAATTACTTCCTTTTCTGGAATTCTTTTAGATTGAATATAGACTAGTGGTGTTTAAATAATTTAGGACTCTAGATAAACGAGATGTCTATCACTAAAAGATCATCCATTCTGTTATTTAAATATCAATTTAGACATTTAAAACAAGTAGTGTGTACAATGTATGTATTAGTTCAAGTCTTTTGTGTATAATATTTCTTTTTACATTAAGAATGCTAATTAAGATTAATTATTTGACAATGACTTGGTTTATAGGAAATTTTATTATACTTCTGTTAAAAGTTTCCTAAATAAAATTAAGAAGATAAAATAGCTATTTTTCATAATCTGAAAATTTCCATGTATATATAGAGAGTTATGTATCCCGGGTTTAGTTTTTGCTACCCACCCCTCGTAAAATTTCCATCCATGCAATTTTTGCCGCCAATTTTGATTTCTAGCGATACATCTATAGTCTTATGATGTCATAATGACATCAGTAGCATTGTGAAGTTATCATGATTTGAGCTCATTCTTGCAGTAGTATCTTATTCCAAGAAGATTCAACCCTCACAAATTATGATATTATAATACATCAGTATAATAAAACACTTATCCACATATTGTGAGTGGGATAGCTCTTTCATCAAACCCTTGACAGGAACTATTACCCCCAAGCGAGCCTTCGGGGAATAGTTCCGTGTCGCGTGTTTGATAAAAGAGCTATCCCACTCACAACCAGTGGATAAGTGTGCATCAACAGATACAAGTTCCTGTCATAAATTAATTGAATTTGATGACCTGTCTTCCAAATAGAAAGAATTTCAAAAAATTATTAGTTTAAAAGCAGAATTAATCAAACCAATATTTCAAGCTTAAAAAATATACTGAAAAAAACAGTAATGTTTTCTTAAAAAAAAAAAACATCACTCGGGAAATTAATTTTAAATATGATTAAGTGCACGATATGCATGTAGTAGACATAACCACAACCATCAGAACTTGAGCCCCGTTTTACAAAAGAACTCAGGACCATGACAAAAATTTAATCCTGCTAATAACTTTCTAATTTATAATAAATAGAAAATATTTTATATCTTTTTAAAAGGAATGTTATTTTTCATGCGACATCTTTAAGGTCTTTATTTGTTGCTTTTTATATGTTCCATCAGATATCTGATAATATAATGAGTGAAACCCAGCTATAAACAAGCTTGAACCTTAGTGTGAATAATAAAAAAAAAACATTAATATCCCAATAGTCCTTTTGGCTTCCTTTTCTGTCTTAGATGCCTTCATTAAGGCATAATAAATTGTAAAAATGCAAAACAAAACTTATTTTGAATTACTATATATATAATATACACTCTGTCAAAACCTGTATCTTTTCACCCTTATCAAAGACAACAAATATGGGGATACTTTTCTCATATCAAAAATATGTTTGATGGACATGCATGGAAACCAAGTTATAACAAGAAAAATACACGATGATCGTAATAAATTATTATATGAAAATTTTTATTGAGTACACAGGGTAGTTTTTTTTCTTTTTTTCTCTCTTTCTCTCTCCACAATTTCCGTTTAACACACCAATAAATTTGGTGAACATACCGTCGCTTACGACATAATCTTCCGATATGCAAGATATGTACATGTAAAGAGTCCCATGGTTTATCGGAAGCACGATAAGATAGTGGGAATATGATATCAAATACCAAGAATACTTTTTTGCCAAACAGATGGAAATGTCTGTCATGAAATACTCCTTATTGGTTATTGTTTTTTTTATTTTAATTGATTCAACGATATTAAAAACATCAATTTTATTACTGTTTTTAACTAACTTGCACACCACCAAAAGCTGTCCATCCACCCGACACTTGCGAATTCGAACCATGAGCATCCATGATATATACGACATTTCCCTTTCTCAATTTTAGAATCAAAGTGCTTCCAGTCGTTATCCACTTATTTCCTCCACCTTTATTATATGACGCCTGTCTCCCTTTAATAACCCCATCCACAAATAATCCCGGATGTGCAAATTTTCCTGGGGCACTGAGACTGTACCACGTGAATAAGTAGACGCCATTTCTAGGCACAATAAACTTCCCCGTGACCGGATTGTAGCAACCTCCCACATTTGTCAGAACTTGGTCATATTTCCATATTGAACCACCATTGAAGATTCTGTCAGAGCTGAGCTGAGCCTGGAAAGCTGTGAAGCTTTTCGATTCTAGAAATTAGACATTATTAACGTTATCATTTGGACTAAAATTCCCAAGAAAATCTATTCTTTCGTATCACACATTGTTAGTATTATTCATAAATATTCAAGGTAAGAATGTTTTTAACTTACGGTTCGTAGACGACAGTCTTCCAATCTGTTCATCCAGAGCTACAATTCTACTCTTCAAGAAATGTAAATGTGTTCCAACACAACTTTCAAAATCGCCAAGATAATTTTGACAGTTGCTATGACAACGAGACAACACAACAAAAGCAAACAAAATGCTGGAGGTGAATGTTACTCGATACATTTTTCGTTGTTCCTATCAAATAAAATACTTATTAATGAAGGTTTAGCAAAGTGTGTCGGGGAAAATTTATATAATAGATGTTTTTCCCATGACATATTTTGCATCAGAGTTACTTCCCTTAGCCACCATCTTAAATTGTAGGGCAAAGCATTGAATTTTCCTCTTTGAGCAACCAATTTTAAACATGCATGCCAGAAAAATATGTGGGGGGGGGATATTTACAATCTTAAAATTGAAATTTGAGTCCTTAACAAACGTATATTCATAAGAAAAATAGTTTTATCTTTACCTCAGTAACCAGTATAACAAATTGAACTTGGTTGAATGATGAAGGGATCTGGGAATGTTGACCTACAATTGGCGGCCATGGGGAATGACTCTTGCTTAAAGCAATATGGGCTGCATGTATGACATCAGAAAATTTTGTTGAAAATTTGTCATTAAATATTTCAATGAAAGAAAAATAAAATATTTATAAACTTCTTTTGTTCATATTTATGATGTCAATTTTTTTTAATAAGCTTTGATTGAAGCAAAATTGAATTATTGTCGTCCTGTACAATAATGATTTCTTATATAATACTGTATATTAGGTCGTACAGAAATATTTCTTCCGAAACATTTTTAAGATACATTTTGGGCTTATTGGTCATAAGGGTTTAAATTACACACAAATTAATCATAATAGCATATTTTACCCGCAAAATAAAATTCTCGAATATGCAGCTCATATTGCTTTAAATCACCTCAATGGAAAACAATCTACAGTAAAGATACTATAACTACAACCACAGAACACTAACCTTAACTCTTACTCAGCAATGTTTTAAGCAATATAAGAAGTTTGATTAATGCTTTATATATTTGAAATCTGTTGTTTGTAGTTCGTGATAAAAGTGAATTTATTTCGATTGAAGTATTTTACGTACATTTATCACGCAAATTTCTCATTTAATTAATATACATACGACTGTAAAACCTCTGTGAAACTTTCACATGACAAGTGGTTATTAAAATTAGTGTCAATCCGGAGTTTAACAAGAACGATCTATATACCAGGATCTGAAATGCGTGATTACAAAATACCTTAACATAAAATTGATCATCATTTTTAAAAAGCTATCTTCCTGTTTACTATTGATTGTTATTAAACGATTTTCCAAATCTTACACAGTCACATCCCCGTTTAGGTACTGTAAATGCGTCTTTTGGCAGAAATAGACGCAAAAACTGACAATCCAATTGCAGAAATGGAATTTGTTTGTATTTTTTTGTTTTGTTTTGTTTTTTTAAAAAGAGCCCATGGGTCACGGTTCTTCGTGTGTAACTTTTGTAAGAAATTCACTCCGCTGCTGCTGATACAATGGATGAAACATGCAAATAAAATGTTAATACTATATATGATGTGTTTAAAACAAGTAGGTTTATTTTGATACTTGATATATCTTAGTTAGTTTATATTTAATTTAATAAAATGTCTCATCTGCATTGGATGTTTGATAATAAATTTTGCTAATAAATCTAAATATATTTCTTTACATTTACAACGTGTACCTGGTATTTGACTGTACCAGAGAAAGTACGTATTGGATTGTAGATAACGAAGTTGGTTGTTAAACAAAACTCTTTTGTGCCAGAGTTTGAGCAAGTAGAACCTTGACTGTAGCTAAATTTTCTTTATTGTTCAAATTTTAAACGTCATTGATTAACTAGTATCATGGCAACGAACTCAAAGAACAGATTTTTTAAAGGTAATAAATTTACTATAAGAAAACGAACGGAAGCGCATTAATGCCACTTGGGCAGTTTATTTTTTTCAACTTCTACACTTTAAAGTGTAAAATTTACACTTTAATCTGTAAAATTTACACTTTGATCTGTAAAATTTACACATTAATCTGTAAAATTTACACTTTAATCTGTAAAACTTAAACTTTATTCTGTAAAATTTAAACTTTATTCTGTAAAATTTAAACTTTATTCTGAACAACCTTTACTGTAACCTGTTAAATCAAACGGTCGTTTCGTGATGTTATACAAGTACCCAAGACATTTGAAAAATAGTATAAACTGAGATGTTCACAATTAATTGCGTAATTTTTTTTACATGTACATGTATATTTGATAAATAAGGATTGGCGATTTACTAATGGACAAAATATCGGGAATCTGCTATAAATCTAGTATATATCTTTAGTTTTACTATATATAGTGCGACGAACAGTAAAAATATATATCTCTAAGATTTGTTTTCTTATTTGCTGATCAGTTTGATATTACAAGTTTATGGGTCTATGATCATGATGATATAAAATGTATCATTAAAATTACGGCCATTTTTGAACATAGCAATAAAGAAACGTCATTGAATCAAAGGATATAAATTTCTGCCGTTCCAAAATTAATATAAAGTCATATACAAGTTATTTATCTATGTATATACTTCACTAATCAATATGTTAATTGATTATTTAAAAAAATTCAATTCAAAAAGTAAAGTAATTCAATTGTTGCCGGTAATGTATGTAGAATGTAATACAATTAATGCTTTCAATAATTGAACTACTGAGCGCATTAAACGATTTTGCAGATCATGATATCAATATTATATTCATTGAGAATATATGCATGTGTGATTGATTTGCTCTTCACTAATATTCTATGAAAGTCTTACTTGTATCAGCCATACTAATTTGCTTATTATTTGCATTTATTGTTAAATAAAAATTCAGAGCAAAATTATATCATGCAAGATTCATGGTTTGTTGGCTTTGAAATGTGTTACTTAGGATGAATGACGTTGCCAAATTGACTAATGAGTATGTGAATTGAACAGATAAATGTGTAATTTTTACACTTTAAAGTGTACATTTTACACTTTAAAGTGTAAAATTTACAGATTAAAATTTAAAGTGTAAGTTTTACAGATAAATGTGTAAATTTTACATATTAAAGTGTAAATTTTACACTTTAAAGTGTAAATTTTACAGATTAAAGTGTAAAATTTACTGATTACAGTGAAAAATTTACAGATTAAAGTGTAGAAATAAAGAAATTAAGGAAAAAAAGTATCCAAGTGGCACTAATACGCTTCCTTACTGAATTCTATACGCTTCTATACGTCTATAATGACTAACTGCGTGAATTTTACATTAAAATTGAGTGATACCACAGCTGGGTATATATAATCATGAATAAAGGTATGTACTTGTAATTCTAGAAATCATTCACATTTGAATACATATACTCAATTGTATCTTAGTTTCAGTACGAGTTCCAGACATGCTAATTAATATTCTCTCTCTCTAAGAATTTTTAAGGTAAAAATTAAGTAAATCTTTAAGGTACTTGGACACAGATTTGAAGTTATTATTTTCTCTATAATATTACGACTTACATATTTTAATTGCACTTCACACAAAAATTAATCAAAAATCTTATTTCATATAAAAGCATTAAAAGATATTAAAATTTTAAATTTTTTGGCAGGTTTGATTGACACATCCTTGCACTTTCACAAATTAATTTTATTCTCAATCCTTAGGAAAAGTGGCAATTTCGTTGTGTATGAAGAAAAATATTAATACTATAATCCAGAAAATTCAGAGTAGACATGTTCGAAAGCAAGACAAACACGCAATTTATTGTCAATCCGTGCAGTTGTGGTAAGCAGACTGTGACGATTGAACGCACCCGGTGAATTGTAAACACCAACAATAACAGAACTCGTGCCCTGTCTACAAAAACTGTGTACATAACACGAGTGTGTTCGATTTGCTAAACTCTGTACACAACTCTTAGTTCGGAATATGACGATACTTGTGAAGGAGTTTTGCTTTCTAACATTTCTACTCTGAATAAAATTATTTTTCTGGATAAAAGTTTTAATATTTCTCATTAATACACAACAAGATTGCCACTTTTCCTAAGGATTGAGAATAAGGTTGAAATTTGTGAAATTTCAAGGATTTGTTGTATGTCAATCAAACCCGCCAAAAAATTAATATTAAAATATATTAGTCGTAATATTATAGAGAAAATATTGACTTCAAATCTGTGTCCAAGTACCTTTAAATTAAAATATATTTGTCCAAGCTTTGCTTGAGATACAACAAATAATATTATAAAATCCGGTCAACATGACATAACCTTGATGAAATTTTAACAAACATTAGTGCTAGCATGAGTAGATTAGATAATGTAAAGGCTTACATACCCGTTATCTAATGCAGATGCATTTATTTTGTTATCCTTTGGATTTCCTGGTCACTATTAAGTGTTAATGCTGAATCAAAACTGAACAAACTAGTTGATTTTATTTATCTTTTTTTGCACTGAAAACCAAGTAAAGGTAAGTGCTAAAAAATCACTTAATTTTGATAACGTATACGTAAGATTTGTCAAACAAGCAATACTGAATTTAGTTGTTCGTGACTTAATTTACCGGAGACTTTTATCAATTTAAAATGTATTGCTCCAATAAACCCTTTTATACACTGGTAGAAAAATGAAGATATATCTGGCAATGGAATTTAAAATAAAGAACGTAATATCGAATTTCTTTATTCCAAGAATAAGGATGGATTTTATTGAACAATTGAACAAATTGCTGGGTTGTTTTTGTGTTGTTTTTTTATACACATGTATGCACTTGTTTTGTATACGGGCACCGCCAACTTATTTTTACCACAAGGAACCTAACTACAATTTAAGCCACCCCCTCTTCAAGCTAGTATTTTGTTTTATTAAAATATATCAATTATTCCTCGAAAATTACGTCAATATACATTTTATGACTGTAGATTGGATAGAACTTCCGGTTGGGGGTCGGATAAAACCAGACACTTCCGAGAATTCCATTCTGAGGTCTCTGGTTTCATCCTACATCTATAACCTCAATCGGAAACTGATGTATCTCATACGCGGTTTTATTTTGTATTTACGTAATTTTCCAGTAATAAATGAGTTTTTTTTTACAATAAAAAGGCTCGATCATAGACGTCTGAAACGATTTAGTTGACAAAAAGTCTATGGCAGCGACAGATGTCATTTTAAAGTAGGTTTATAATTGATACTAGTATATTAACAAAATACAAGCTTGAAGCGGGGTGTCTGAATTTGAGTTAGGTAACTTGTGGTAAAAATATGTATAGAGGTGTCTCGTATACGAAACAAGTGCCTTGGATTTTATATTATAAAATGTGTTGTTTGATTTTTTGTTAAGGCCTTGCAGGAGAAAAAATATATAGTCGAAATAATTTTTTTAGTAAAATGCATATGGGAAGTATTACACAGGAGCAAATCCAGATTTGAAGTATGGGGGCCTAAGCTGATCAAACATAGAAAGGGTAAGGGTGCAGTCAGTTGATTAAAGTTTACTCAACACTTTGATACTTAAAACTTAATTAATTTACTAATTAGTCCAATGAGAAATAATGAATGATGTAGAAACTTATTTTGTTATCCTTTGGATTTCCTGGTCACTATTAAGTGTTAATGCTGAATCAAAACTGAACAAACTAGTTGATTTTATTTATCTTTTTTGCACGGAAAACCAAGTAAAGGTAAGTGCTAAAAAATCACTTAATTTTGATAACGTATACGTAAGATTTGTCAAACAAGCAATACTGAATTTAATTGTTCGTCACTTAAAGACAAAAAGTCTCTGGCAGCGACTGATGTCATTTTAAAGTAGGTTTATAATTGATATATTAACAAAATACAAGCTTGAAGCGGGGTGTCTGAATTTGAGTTATATTATTGCTATCCGTTTTCGTCCGTCGTCGTGCGTCGTGCGTTGTGCGTTAACATTTGAACATTTTCAGCTTCTTCTCTGCAACCACTGAACCAATTTCAACCAAATTTGGCACAAAGCATCTATGGATGAAGGGGAGCAGAAATTGTGAATTTCATTATCCCTGCCCCCCTGGGGCCTGAGGGATGGGGCCAAAAGCAATAAAATTAATGTAATCTTTAAAAATCTTCTTCTTTACTCCTGGACATCAAGCAGTCAAACTGTTTGCATGATTGTAATCAGCATTTAGGTTTATACCAAAATTGTGAAATTCATGGCCCTGGGGTCAGGGGTTCCAGTGCTAGGGCGGGGATAAATAAGTATATAGTGAAAATGCATTATTTCTTTGAAAATCATCTTCTCTGCTCCTGGGCATTAAATAAACTAACTAAGTACATAGTTATGATGAGCAAGAGTGCCTCTATCAAAATTGTGAATTTTATGGCCCCAGGGTCAGGGGTTCTGGTGTTAGGGCGGGGCTCTATTGATTATATAGGGAAAATACATGAATTCTTTGAAAATCTTCTTCTCTGCTCCTAGGTATAAAATAAACTAACTAAGTGCATAGTTATGATGTGAAAGAGTGCCTTTACCAAAATTGTGAATTCTATGGCCCCAGGGTCAGGGATTCTGGTGTTAGGGTGGGGCTCTATTGATTATGTAGTGACAATACATGAATTCTTTGAAAATCGTCTTCTCTCCTGGGTATTAAATAAACTAACTAAGTGCATAGTTATGATAAAACAAGAGTGCCTTTACCAAAATTGTGAATTTTATGGCCCCAGGGACAGGTGTTAGGGCGGGGCTCAATTGATTATTTAGTGAAAATACATGAATTCTTTGAAAATCTTCTTCTCTGCTCCTGGGTATTAAATAAACTAACTAAATGCATAGTTATGATGAACAAGAGTGCCTCTACCAAAATTGTGAATTTTACGGCCCCAGGTCAGGGGTTCTGGTGTTAGGACGGGGCTCTATTTATTATATATAGTGAAAATACATGAATTCTTTGAAAATCTTCTTCTCTGCTCAAAGGTATTAAATAACCTTACTAAGTGCATAGTTATGATGAGCAAGAGTGTCTCTACCAAAATTATTAATTTTATGGCCCCAGTGTCAGGGGTTCTGGTGTTAGGACAGGGCTCTTTTGATTATATAGTGAAAATACATTAAATCTTTGAAAAATTTCTTCTTTGCTCCTGGGTATTAAGCAGATGGTCTACCTATGTAGTTAAGGTGAGCAAGAATGCCTCTTTAAAAATTATAAATTTTATGGCCCCAGGGTCAGGGATTCTGGTGTTAGGGCGGGGCTCTATTGATTATATAGTGCAAATACATTAAATCTTTGAAAATTTTCTTCTTTGCTCCTGGGTATGAAGCAGATGAACTATCTATATACATTGTAGTTATGATAATCTTCCAGAATTGTGAATTTCAAGGCCCCAGGGTCAGGGGTTCCTTAGAGGGGGCAGGGCTGTATGTATATACTGAAAATATAATTTATAATGATTTGTTTGAAACCTTCACCTTGGTATTAATCAAATATTTTTGAAAAGCAAGAATGCCTGTACAAAAAATTGTGCAATGTGTGGATCTATGCCTAAGGGTCAGGGGTTCATGTGTGGAAGGGACACTACTGATTATTGCTGAATATTACTGATTAGTTGAAATGCAGTTTTTGTTCCCCTACCCTGCCTATGGGTATTAACTAACCAAACTAAGCAACTGCTAAGTGTATAGTTATGATGACCAATGGACCGCCAGCTCTTTCAAAATTGTGAATGCCATAGCATCTGGCTTAAAATATGAATCAAATTCAATCACTGGAAAGTCGTTGCATAATGCTCAGGTGACCTATAAGGCCCATGGGCCTCTTGTTTGTTAAGGCCTTGCAGGAGAAAAAGTATATCGTCGAAATAATTTTTTTAGTAAAATGCATATGGGAATTATTACACAGGAGCAAATCCAGATCTGAAGTAAGAGGGCCTAAGCTGATCAAACATAGAAAGGATAAGGGTGCAGTCAGTTGATTAAAATTTACTCAACACTTTGATACTTAAAACTTAATTAATTTACTAATTAGTCCAATGAGAAATAATGAATGATGTAGAAACTTATGATAAATTCCTGTCTCAAAGCATATTTTCTTTTAGTTTAAAATTTCGTTATCGTTACGCAGACCTTTCCACCAACTTTTTAAAAATTTCTACCTGCTGTGAAATACATGTACGTAATTTGACTTATTACATAATCACCTACATGTAGGCCTAGACAGGAAGAAACACACACAAAATACAAGTTACCGGTAAAACTTTTTCCGTAAGGATATCCGATCGTCAACCAGGAAGGAAAACTCTTTAATTTATAATTTAATTCAAAAAGTATCAAAAAGAAGCTTAAAATTGAAATCTTTTTATGCAAAAAATGTTATTGTATGCCTATCAATGTGATTCAATGTTCTTTGAAGTTCTTAGAAACGGTATTTAAAAAGTTTATATTCATACCTCATTAACCCCTTCACTTCCGTACCGGTCAAATTGACCGGTGGCGCGTTAAAACACGACTTCGCGAAAATAAGATCTCCGTATCTATTTTGTGGTAGCATGAAGGTATATAAGCTATATATCATCTTTTTGGAAATTTTCTCTACTTTTAAAATATCTAAAAAGATTATATCTTGATTCCCGGTATTTAATCGATTTTACGTTGTAAAGACAAACGAGACTTTTTGAAAATGGCGTAATTTTCCAAAGCGATTGCCGATTTTCCAGACGATTGACAATTTTTTTCTTGATTAACTTTATAAGAAAGCATGGTATATTCTTAAAGCATATTTTCTCTACTTTTAAAATATGTAAAAATTATTGTTATTACTGTAAGGTATATTTTAAAAACAAGAATTTTCTTGCACTGATGTGTTTTTTCTCGATTTTATTCGTAATATTTAAACAAAGCTCAGTTTTACGTTTATTTTTGTGTTGAAATAGGGAAAACAAAATAAAGCTGGTAAAAGTAGAGAAAATTTCCTTTCCAACAAGCCCTTATAGGCCTTCTTACGCTCTGTATTTTCTTAAATACGATAATTTGAATTTGTGACCTTCGCATAGTTTTTATGGAAAAATCTGTCAATATTTACATATAACGTCAAGGTCGATATTGTTGCGTCTTACTCGAAACAACAAATTCATTTATAAGACTTTTTTGACAATTTAAATATATTTTTTACTGAAATAAATGCATAATACAAAAGAAAAAGATTTCAAAAAACAAATTATAATTTCGTTCTGCCTTTTGTGTTCAGTGAATGTTGATTTATTCATCTACATGTAGGCCCTAATGATGTATTTTTCATGAAGTGATAGGGCCTATACAATATTGATAAAAATTGTAGATTTCCAAAACGTCGATCTTTACTAAAAAAAAATCAATCAGATTTTTAACATTGTTGTATCTTGTTATACTGTATACTTATTAATTTGCAATTTAATTAGATCTATATTTAACAATACAAAAACTCGTATTTATAAATAAATACGACTCAACACTGTATGAGTTCATACGAATGGAAAAAAACACGTGTTTCCGCTGTGATAGCTGTAAACAAAAGGCAGTGTCTATATGCACGACCGTCGTGCACTTACCTTTTCAACGGTTATTCGCACGACCGTCGTGTACATAATTTTTCAGTGGCTGTTTGCACGACCGTCGTGTATATTAATTTTTCAGTGACTATTTGCACGACCATCGTGTTTTTTATTATAATATTTATCAGCTGGTCGCACGACCATTATATATATTTATTCATACCTTCACTTATTATGGCATTCGTTTTTCGTCCCCAGTTAAGTTCGGAACGCAGTAATTAAAGTACAAAAAGACATTTTGGCAAGAAAACATCGCAAAAACTTTTTTTAGTGATATTAATTTATATAATTAATTGACATTTGGGTCCAATGGGCAGGTCGTTGTTATGTAAATTTGTTTCTATTAGAACTACCCTTGTATTTGTATTTAATTAATAAAATAGTTGCTTACCAGGCGCGGATCCAGGAATTGAAGTTCAAAGCATTTCCAAAAGTAGGCAAGGGGTCTGGGGGCCGCCTTAAAGTGGGTCCAGAGCAAAGCCCTGGTGGGGGCCCAGGTGGCGAAGCCCCCGGAAGCTCCTGGATTCTAGAGATTTTGTAGGGTAAAAATGAGGTCTACCAAGTATACATATTTATATTTTCTAGACGAAACTGTGATTTACGTAAATTTTGACAATTTTAGGGGCGCGCGCCGGGTGCGCCCCCCTTAAATCCGCCACTGCTTACTATTTTGGTAGGTCTGGGTTTACCCTATCCACCAGAGCCAGGACGCATTTATAACAGCCATTCTCCAGAAATGGTTCCAAATACGTAAAACTGGTGTCGCAAGTATTTAAAACAAAATTATTTTTTCCTACTTTAGGTACACATCTAAAACTTTGCTGAATATATATCTACAGCAAAAAATGAAGATTTTGGTACCAAATAATATGCATTTGAAGTGTTAAAGTATGTCCAAATATTCCTATGAAAAACAGTTGTCTTCATTTTTTAGCATGTCGCAAGTACATATTCCAATTTTAATGTATTACTAAGTGGCATATCCTTGAAGATATTATCATTTACAACTTATTTATTATTTTAGTATCACAAAGCCTGTTTTGTCAGTAAGACATAATCGGATTTTAGACATTCTTCCTTTATTTATTCCGATTTATATATTGTCGCTGAAATAGGCCTGACTTCCGTAACGCGTGATTGATTTGAAAGGAAGTGATTGAATAAAGAAATATATATATATAGATAGTATCGTAATTAAAAGTAGAAGGTACACTAGAATGAAAATATATACATTTGAAAGGCGAAAATGTACGGTTTTAAAAAAAATTTTGGGTTCAAAATCGAATTTTGAGTTTGACACATTTCAGAGCCTGACTTCCGTAACGCTATTTTCAACTAAATTAATGATATTTGGCAAACTTACTTGTTATGTGTTTGAAGAATACATTGATCTTATGCTATTTATGCCAATCTTCAAAAGATTATGATGATAACATGGTAAGTAGAGAGGGAAAATGACTAAAACCCCTGATCGGCGCAACGTGTGACATCCGTAACAGTATTTTAAAACAAAGAATATCGGTCTCGGCTTCCCATTATTGACATAAAGATGGTTTAGTGAAGTAGACCACGAGTTAGCAGGTGACGAAACTTTAAAATTACTTAACTTAAGTGATTAAATGTATGAAGCAAAACGTATGTTTGAGAAAAATATGACAAAGGTGTGTTAAAATGTGAATAAATACGAATGGATATGTGTGGAATTGTTTGAGTTAGTTTATACTCATTTGCAAGAAGTATATCTGCTGTAGACTAAAACCATTTCACCTAAGTCAATGAATCATTTGACATTATTTTTAGAAATTTTCTGTAGCGTTACGTATGTCAGGGTGGAAAATCAGATTCCATACCTATATAGTTTTAAGCGCTTAAAAGGTATTTTCTAAATGTTATTATTCATGCTTATGTTTTTATGTCTAAAAAGTGATAATTATTAATGCGTAAAATGCTTTAGATGTTTCTTTCCATTGATATATTCAAGCACCAAACTTATTGATTTACAAATTATGTGATCGGATATTTGTGTATCAGACATATTTGAAAAAATATCATATGAACAAATATATCTGACCCCTTGAATTATTGTATTGATATGCACATGTCCAAATTTCATTGTGTATCGATTGAGTTAATTGTTTAAAACTCTCTTGTAGGACATTTATTCTAAATAATGTTGGTTACGGATGTCAGGTTTTACAATACCTGACACCTATCACCAATCTTTCTAATATTAATTGACTTCTCTTAAATAAATAAAAAAAATATTTAATTTAGAAAAAATTTAGATTAAACCAATGCAATATATATTCATATACATTATTTACAAAATGTTATTGACAAATGCGAAAGGCAGAAAAAATGGAGAGAAAAGAAGGAAAATGTGAAAGTGTATTTATCTGATCTTTTGGTGATACCCCCTCCCCCCTTTCCTGTTTTTTATCCAGTTTTTTCACCTAGAAAAGGAAGTTGGCGTAGTTGAAGAAAATGTTAACCATAAATTTCAAGACTACTTTAGATATCTTCAGAGTAATCATTTGCAAGAGGAGACTGTCTGACGTCCGTAACAGAGTTTTGAGCCATATATAAGCTTTCCATTTTCAATAAAATATAGATATATATTATTATCTTTCAAACTAACAAAATTATAGGTGGTAGATTCACCATAGCATGTATTTTTTGTTCAATTATTTCGCTATTTTTTAGCAAACAAACCAGAATTCTCAATTTTAATTTGTTTCATGATTGCTGTTTACTGACAAAATCAAAATATGTGCTTATTTTCTAATTCAAAATACATTAAGCAATCAATTACTTCTATGATGAATAACCTGTATTTAATTTTTTTCCCAATATTATTCAGTTTGAATATCTATCTAAAACATAAAGTCCTGGAAAATATTCACACGCTGACATCCGTAACTTGTATGGTCAGTATTTTTGAAGATCCCTAAACTTATATGTGTGAATTAATTTTTTCTTAAAATCTCTGCATAAGTGTTCCATGGATTTGGTGTTATATTCAAAATACCTAAATATAAGATTTTATTCCTAGATTGCGTTCAAATTCAAATGAAAATTTATACATTTTTGTCTTTTTTGATGTAAAAAGAAGGATTCTAGTAAAACAAGGGTATTTTTCTAAAATATATGTCTTGAAGTTGAATTTTTGGAGATTTTGACACAACTATAATTGGTCTTCAGAAAAATATCAAATAAAGTGTTCTGTGATGTTTATTTTTAGTGTTTCGCCCTATGACTAGTGGTATATATTTACTTCTGACTTCCGTAACATGATTTTAAGTACTGTCTTCAAATTAAAATTTTTCAAAAATGAGAAAACATCTGTGAGTAAAATTTCATATTATTGTCCGAGAATGGTTGTAGTAAAATATTTTAACAATTTTAGGACAAAAATCAAAAGTTTATTTTTCAACATTGGCTATCCTGTAAATGGAACCATTTCTGGAGAATGGCTGATAAGCATTTCGCCTACTTTAGTATTGATTTCTTAATACACTTTTTAACCAAAAAAAGATTGTCATAAAACCTTACTTACCTTAGTTTTATAGTGTTATACACATGAAATTTCAAATTAAACAATAATCATGATAATGATATTTAAATGTTAATATAGTTCCCTAAATACACTATTTATTAATAAAAATCATCAAGTTTATGTAGGGAGTATGTAGTAAATATTGACGTGTGTATCTAAACGATGATAAACTGTTGATATTTAAGACCACTGGTGCTTAGACCGCGGTTACCATGGTTACGATCCGTTATTTTTTGGAAGTGCATATTATTAAGTCATGAAGTTGAGCAGGCATACAACATATATTCATATTGAGTTAATATTTTTTTTTAAAGTGATATATTTAAATATAACGTGAGATGTTCGCTGAAATCGGGGCGAATAGTGCGGGCGCGAACCATCTTAGTGCGAAACAGAATCAGCCCGAAAAATCCCGGATTCGTGTACTATTAGTTATCCAGGTTCAATCAAGGGTGTACGGGGATTTACCCAAATTTGTATTCCATACACCCTGAGGCCGAAGGGTGTATGGAATACAACCCGGGGTAAATCCCCGTACACCCTTGATTGAACCTGGATAACGAATTTATTTCTTTTGTACCCATAACAATGCTTTAGAGTGTGTCTCAACATATCGATTTGCTTTGTATTATAGAAAAACTATGCATTGTGACGTCACGTTTTATTTACACCCGGTTCAAGTCGGGTGCACGGATATTTACACCCGACTTTGTAACCAATCAAAGCTCGTGTTACAAGCTAGATAGGAAATAAATATATTTATCCCGCTTCAGACAAATTTGTCGATTACTGATTGGATAAAAGCTAATCACGTGACGCCCTGAAATTTTCCGTATTACGTCTCCATTTCCATATTACGTCTCCGTCGAGGCGTAATATGAAAACCGGGCACGCGATTCCGTTCGAAGCGTTGTTATTGTAAATAAAAATGGCGGCTAAGAAACGGTTAAACGTAGGTAGTTCAGTTAAATTTCTTGTTACCGTAACGATATTTTATGTTGATTGTTATTGGATAAAAACTAATATTTTCATAATATGCACAAATTTGTAGAATATTTTTTTATATTGAAAAAGGTCTTCAACGGGATAAATTCGTTACACAGTCAGTTAGTGACCTAATACGGATTCATACAGGGTGTGAATTGGAAATCCGTATTGCGACTCGGCTTCGCCTCGCCCAATACGGATTTCCATTTCACACCCTGTATAAATCCGTATTAGGTCACTAACTGACTGTGTAACTAATAGTATACAATAGCTATTATCGTCGTGTGCATATCTCTGGCAATGTGCGATTGCTATTTGCACGACGGTCGTGTAAATAGATTTTGTCTTACGTATGTGCACGACGGTCGTGTAAATAGATTTTTGTCTTACGTATGTGCACGACGGTCGTGTAAATATCTCAACAATTTGCATTAGCTATTCGCACGACGGTCGTGTAAATAGACTTTATTCACTATGCGCACGACGGTCGTGTATATATCATCGGCCTAAACAAAAACATGATCCGAAATCTGAACGTCAATTTTCATGATTATTTCACGATGAAGATCCTCACATCAATGAATCAAATAATACGGACATGCCTTTGGTATTAGCAGGTGAGAATACGTGTATATTGACTGAAAAGTTTAAGTTTAAAACGCATTAGTTCACGTTCAAAAGAAAACTAAATGTACACATGTACTAGATCTTTATGTTTCAGTGTGCGTGTTTCGTATCGTTCAGCCAATTTTGCATTGTTTTTGAACTTTGATGCTTTTGACAATCACTCGTAAGTTCAAAGTAAAATCATAGTTGTCATAATAATGGATAGTTGTTTTCAGTATCTATGTACCAGTGTGTACATGTACAACTTTCACATTGAAATTTTAGGGTGCTTTCACCATATGCAACAATACTTTCATCATTGAATACCCACTTTCTAAGCCCACCATGAACTACGAAGGTCAGTTAGTATGTAAGGACACCAATGAACAGGTAAATTTTTGTTTTGGTATTGAAAATTTCTGTATTTCTAAGATTTCAAAAAAATAAAGTCTCATGATATCGCATTCATACAAGTTTATAAACATTCGATTTATATTTTGAAAAATAAGTGTTTTAAACACATAATACTTATGATGCTTGATTATTCATACAGACACATTATTTAAACATGTAATATCTATCTGAATGAATGCCGAGATATGGAACAAGCTGTTTTTATAGACTGCTGTTGTATTTCCAATCTGCATAAAGTATGTGGTTAGCATTTCCATTTTCTCAATTTTTCAGACACTTTCCAATTATGGTACATCATATACATGGGTGGTCAAACTCACTGGATGGTTTATCAACATATATATATATACAGCCTTGCCCCAGGAATTTTGCCCTGAAGTAACATTGCAGTCTATTGTCTCCTTTCTTTTTACAACCCTGGCAGCCATGCAGGTATGAAATCTATGAAAGCCATGAAGGGACATAGAATTTTTAAAGTTTATTTAAACAATAAAATGCTTTCTTTGTTTGTTGTTACTGGAATGAACGGAAGCAGCTGTTGCAGAAAAAATACATAACCCGCGTAAGCGGGTTATGTAAATTTTTTCTGCAATAGCTGCGACCGTTCATTCCAGTAACAACAAACAAAGAAAGAAATTTTATTGTTTATATTTATATATGTTTAAATAATCAATTAAAGTAGGATTAAAAAGATTAATTATTGTATTAATGATGCGAACGTCTGTATACGTATCATTGATGGAACAGCCACTGATTAAGAAATCTGTACAAGGCGACCTGCCTACTGTAGTTTATGCAGTGATGAACGCAATGGGGTTTCATAAGAAATAAAGGAGAAAATATTCAGTGTATGTAAATATAAAAGTAAACCGAGTTCTTGATTTATACAATCCGTTCTCTCGGATTGACAATCTGTTATAACAAATTGCCAATTCATTCTCACAGATTATCAATTCGTTCCCTCAAATTACACAATCCGTTATCTCAGATTGTATAATTCATTCTCTTTGTTTAAATAATTCATTCCCTCGGAATGTAAACCCTTCCCATGATTTCGTTTAAATTATTTATCTGTACATATGGCCTTAATAAAAAAATTGCTAGATTCTCATCCGAATTTTTTTAAAAATCGAGGCGAGCGGGCGGCTTTTATTTTATTTTTTTAAAATTTTTTTCAATTCTGCTGATTTTTATTGACCTTGTCAATCGGTCAATCGGTGTAATCTGCAATACCCGAATAAAAGTCATAGTAAAGTTTCAATTATCTCTTACTTCACATCGATATCATCACCAATCTTTTTTAACCAATGTGACCCTTATTTAAAATATATACGCATGTATGACAGCAATTACCATCTTTTCAGCTGTCAAAATCATGTCGACTTTCGCGGGATTTACAACGAAAGTAGAATGGTAGATGAATACCGATCCCGATTAGAATTAAGACGAAGAAAAACAGAAATAAAAAAAATTGAGGCGGTGGTATAAAATCGGGGCGGGCGGGAATGATAATCTAGGAATTTTTTTATTATGGCCTATCGGATATGGTAATACATGTTTAAAAATAGAATATTTTAGTATTTTTACATCCTAACATTTATTACATGTTACGGTCCAAAATGAGAAAAAATACATGAACATTTTCAAATCCATGTGCTAGTACTGATATTTGTACAGCAAAAAATCTTACAGGTTTTTGTGTTACTTGTATATAAGAATAATTGAAAGTCCTAGATAGTAAAAGTGAATATGGGTCCTGTGTAATCATAATATTTATAAAATAAATGTACTTTTATTTTTTTATTAGTGTGGTTGCAAACGACCGGTTGCTGAAACAAAATAAATCATTGATTAAAATGGTTGGATGTATCTGTACATATATGTAATGAAATTCAAGAGCACAGATTTCCAAAATCATAAGACGGACGTTGTAACAAATCGAGATGTTGAATTATCAATCTGTGAAAACAAATTACCGTTAAGTAATTCGAGATCTCAAATTATGGATCAAGGGGGCGAATTAGTAATCCTTAAGATCAGATTCTGTAATTCGAGATCTCATATTATAAATCGAGGGAACAATTTAGTAATACGTGGGATGGATTGTCTAATTTGATTCATTATCATTTTTTACTTTTTTGAAAAATTTACGTGTCCTTTCTTGGCTTTCGTAGCAATCTAATGCCAGATTTTTTACATGTTGCGATAGCGTAAACAGAGGTCTGGCTTTAGTCAGATTGCCATATATGCTATTTGTTTTAGTTCAGTAATTTTACCATGATGGTTTACTACAAGGTTGTTGAATTATCAGTCCTGATACATTGACTTAACAATGGGTACCTGTAAAGTGCGAAACGAAATAGAAACGAAACGAAACGAAACGAACTGAAACGAAACGAAACGAAATCTACCGAAACGAAACGAAACCTACCGAAACGAAACAAAATCAAGACGAAACGAAATCAAAACGAAACGAAACAAAACTATCAAATTTTTTTTTTTTTTTTTTTTGTAAATCAAGGTACATGTATATAATTATAAATGTGTAACTACATGTGGACTTTTTTTTTTACTTCAAATAAAATGCATATGTTTCAAGCACTTGTTAATATAAAATTTAATTACCGATAAATTATGCTCCCTTACACGAGCGTACTATGCATGTATAGTATCAATATGTGCATTATTTTCTAATTTTTATATCTTACTCTTATTTTCAGGCCTTATTTATCTAGTTTCAACATATCTATCAACATTGATGTGTTATACATGTAAAGGCTCGTTTATGTACGGGTCGAAATAAAGTCACTGTACTGTTGTATTGCGAATGTCTTAAAACCTAGGATAAACCAGAGGCTTAGAGTATTTAGTATTCCATTCCAAGGTCTCTGGTTTTTTATTCAATCAGATTATACATGTAACTCCAACCAAAATCTTGTGTATCCTTTCTACACGTACATACGGTCCTAGTTTTATCGAGGTAATTTTGGAGGAAGAAAGGAGTGGTTTGCAATAAAGAGGCTCGACCATAGACGTCTTAAACGATTTAACTGACAAGTAAAAAGTCTCTCTAAGCGAACGATGTCACTTTTAAGTAGGTAAATTATTTAGTAGGATATTAACAAAATATGACATAGGTGTCGGAAGCGGCGGGGAGGGGGGGGGGTAGCCTTTATCCCCACTTTCTTGCAAAGATATATATTACATAGGCATTGAAAACTGGGTTAACCTTTTTTGTTGGTTAAGCCCCCCCCAACTTTCAATTTCCTTCCGACGCCTATGTAGGAACTTGAAGCGAATTAAACAATTGCCTGTGGTGCTTGAACTATATAAATTTCATATGAAGTAAAAATAGACCATATAAACATTCTGAAAGTTTTGTTTCGTTTCGTTTCGGCAGGTTTCGTTTTGATTTCGTTTCGTTTCGTCTTGATTTCGTTTCGTTTCGGTAGGTTTCGTTTCGTTTCAGTAGATTTCGTTTCGTTTCAGCAGATTTCGTTTCGTTTCAGTTTGTTTGGTTTCGTTTCGTTTCTATTTCATTTCGCACTTTACAGGTACCCACTTAACAATATCATTTAACTACTTTGATCACATAATAAATACAATTTTAATTTTAAAAGGAAAATCAAATAAATGTAGTAATTTTAGCATTCTTAATTTTATTTATAAATATAAATTTATATACACAATGACATGTATCTGTTTCAAAATACTTAAATCTTTTACAGGATAGAAGCTCACTTGATCACTTGTGCTTGACAGCAAATAATAATGTCTTGGACAAGTCAAAGAATTTCCTCCAGTCTTACAGAGAAATGACAGCTGATAAAGAATGCGGACACAAAGTAAAAGTGCTCTTCAACATTTTGTTGAACATTTCAGTCTGATTTGGAATTCATCTTGCAATATTTCTGGATTTGTATATTTGGATATAAGCGTCAAATTTTCAACTTATTGCCTAAACAGTTTTGCATTAAATATTGCCAATGTTTTCTATTATTATTATTTCCCTCCAAGATAACATGATAACATGTCAAGTCTTTATTGTACCCCTTAAGCTCTGTTTTACCAGAAAAATCTTGTAATGAAATCATTTAGTTTTTTTTTTCTTGTTTGATTAAATCCATGAAAATAAAGATTATTTTTAATGGCATCAAGAGAATGGATTTCTTGTTTAACAAAAAGATAGTATACATGTTTTGCTAGGGCTTTGTAAGAAGACCAGAATTCTTTGCTTGCAAATTATGTTGTTCACCATTTTTATTACGTCAACTATTAGATGATTTATCCATGTTTGAAGCATTTCAAAATTGATATTAACTTACAGTTTAAAGCAGAATTCTGTACTGATATGACCTTGACCCCCTGAAGAACAAGAGTGTCAAGGTCATTTTTTAATACAAAAATGTTCTTTCATCTTTATGGCCCATATCTTACAAACAATATGATGAAATATACAAAAAGTGTCTAGAATGTGTCCAGAATGTGAAATAACAAACATGTATATAGCCAAAAACTTTAAAATGATGTTGCTTAGCAACCACTTAAAGGTCATTAAACAGTTATTGAACTAAAATGATGCATGGATATTGCAGTTCTGATCCCTTCTTGAGAGTATATTCAGAATTTTCCATTTCAGCATTCATTGTGTAAAATTATGGCAAGAATATTGAAAAGTGTTGAAAAAAATTGATGAAACTTTTGCACTTATTTGACCTTTGACCACCTAAAAATAGTTCTAATGAGGTCAAACTTTAAGACAATTTATCTGTTGTATGTCCCTTGTAATTTTATGACCTTGCATCAAACTTTTATATGTGCTGGGATGCATAAATGTGTCTAGGATGAGTAAAAAATGAAAATTTCTGCCCGAAAATTAAAGAATTCTGCGTTGCTTAGCAACCCCTTTTAAGTAGTTATATGCAGAATTGAAAAAAAAGTTTATATGTTTCATGTAGTACAGTATAATGCTCTTTTGTGGGTATATCCAAAATTTCCTATTTCAACATGCATCATACTTAATATTTAGCTTAAAGATGAAAAAGTATATAAAATTCTCATAAAATTTTGCACTTAATTGACCTTTGACCTCAATTTTTACTAATAAGGTCAGTGGTTGAGTATCTAAACAGTCATAAAATATCATCTGTAAGAAATTTCCTACAAAATGGTATGCATTATGCCTAGCTTTCCCCTTGGATAAAAAAGTTAGAAATAATTTAATAATGCCATGTCAAAAGGCCCCCAAAATCACGTAAAATGCGCCGGAAGAGAAAGGGTTAAAAAAGTAAGTGAAAATTACATATTTAATGAAATCGAAATTATTTAAATCTACGTGTAGCCTTAGTTACCAATGTTTGTTACTAATCATCTGAAATAAGAAGTGATTTATGGTGTTTTCTATGATATATATGTAGGTACCAATTTATACACTATGCATTATAAAATGATCGAAGTAAATAGGAGAAATTAAAGTACGGAATAAGTATTATAATCATGCAATTTTCTTCAAAAGCCTGGATTTTTGTTCCTGAAATATACATGTATTTGTCGATCAATTTTCAAAGAGAAAATATGCATTTAGTAGTTTTATTCGCATTTCCTTAAATTTTATTTGAGATTTACTATTTTTCCCTATATAATATGATTTATTTTGAAGATGAATTTTTAAAAAACACCGTGGCTACATTGTAAATACACATTACATTGAGAATTCAGAGACATCTTTGTGAGCATTTTTAATTACTCAATGCCTGATTTTCAGAACCTGAGGTACGAACTACTTTAAGATATATATGTACAGGACACATCTTGATACAGCTCAGAGCATTTAGTTGAAGGCAACTTACAAAATCATTGTAGGCATGTATAGAAACTAAGTATGAAATTAAGATTAAATTATGGATTACATTTTCTTGCAAATACTAGTCCTGATAGAGCATTGATCCATTTTTAGAATATTCTGTTGATTTTCTTACATTGAAATTGTTTATTATTGTTCACAAAAATGTACATGTACCTTATTTTATCTAAAAATAAAACGCATATATAAACCAAGCATACGTGGATGTCAGGGAAAATGAAAGCAAAGAAAAGTGTTTACAAAATCAGGGCTTGAGTAAAGCAAATTTAACCGATCACTGGGTCGTATTTTAGCTGACTTGTTTCATACCAATCGTTAGGCCCTTGACTTTGTACAAAAGTTCTGTCACCTGATCAAAACATAAGGCTCACGGCGAGTATAAGTGGCAAATAGGGCATTTATACTCCTCCTAGGCGCCTAATCCCACTTCAGGAATTTCCTGATCTCTGTGTTTTATGCTATATTTATAGAGATTTGTTTTGTTTGTAGATAGTTCGTAGATCGATCAGTGCTCCTTTTCTTTATATACTCTTGATAAAGCTAAAATTAGAATTATTTTTAATGAGGCATACAGTCCTACTGAAACATTTTTGTGCCTCCATTATTAAATTTCGTGTAAAGTTAAGAAATGAGAATCAATGATCCCTTTATATCATCCGACCTCTCGATAAAAACATTAAGGAGAATCATGTTATTGAAGAATTTTTTTTTTAAAAAATAACACAGGACATCCCTCCCCATTGGAAATATGATTTACATTTATTATCTTATCTGCTTTTTAAAGCGTCTCTGCATAAATGTACAATCAGCGACAAAGTTTATCATTTCTAACTTTGAGCGAGATAATTATGAATGATAAGTGTAAACCATTTTAAAACGCTAAATTTTATCATTTTAAGTGTTCAATTTTATTGTACATTAGATTATTTACCTAATCTGATGTATTCAAGACACTCATCCATTATATTTTAAATAATTTGGCTGAAGTAAGTATAATTTTTTCTTATTTTTCAATTGACTGTTTTGCAAGAATATTAAAAACAATTGTAATTGATTCAAGTATTTATTATCAAAGTATTTTGTGCCGTTTTAAACCTCTGTACATATAGATTAAAAGATACTAGTACAATAATAATTTTTACAACATTGATATGCAATAAAAATACAATTGAAACATCATTTAGCTTAGGGCTAGGCTATTGATAACCCTTACACCTACTAATCTCAAAAATCCAATATATATACCCCATTATTTGGTTTGGAAAACGTCTTTTGAAAGAGTTATCGCAAAGAAATAATTGAATCATTTCAAAAATAGTTTTGCTTGTACGTTCAGTATTTATAAGCATGGCTTCTTTAACTTACAGTTTCAAGAATGGGAACAGAAGTATCCAAAGAGGGAAGTGATCAAGTCGGGGTCGACCCCAAAAGTGAATATATTGATGAAGTCCTGCAACGGGAGGTCGATGATACGGAAGATGAGACCGATGGATACGATGAATTCGATGGAGGTAACAGAACGGGAAACATATATGTACATGTACTATATTATCGAGGTTCAATCAAACAAAATTTAAAACGATTATGTGTCTGAATAAGAGCTGTACATTTTTTCTGATTTATTTTTTGTATCTTTTAAGGATTAAGTGATACTGACAAGCTTGCACAAACCATCGACCCAAAAGAATATCTCGATCAGTATCCATTTAAAAATCTCATTTTTGAGGGAGGTGGAGCAAAAGGAATCGCATATCCTGGTGCATTGAAGGTGATATATTCGACAATATTTACATTTTAAAATTATTTTCCTTAAGATTCTTTGCAAGTAGGAAGACTGTTCATTATTTCATGAACTATCATGGATGAGCATGAGTATTTTCATTGTTACATTATAATACCGCACTTGACATCAAAACTATAGTGCAAACTCTTTTGCTTTAAAAATGACAGTTGAATTACATACATTTTGTGGCAAATCATCAATAAATAATGTAAATATAAGAAATGGTTTTGATTTTTGAAAATTCACGAGGTATATGAACTACAACGCTTGATGACGATAAATTTGTCAAAGATTTTTTGTACCATTTATTGCACTTGATATATACACATTTTTTAAATTAATTTCATGCTGTCGTGTTACTGTAGACGGAAGTTCTATTGGGCCTGGCTTTTACATTGCCTAGGTTATATAGGGCAAAGGCATCAACGGGTTGCAGTGCAGTCGCTTGAAAATTCTTCTCCAATAGCGCTTGTCGTTTGCCTAATTTTTGGCGTGTTTACACCCGGCTGAATGTAGCAAGGGTTTGTCAAGACCTTATCGCAAATAATCACAATTACCCACTTGACTGGTCTCCGTAAAGTCCAATTTTTTTCTCATTGAACATCTGTGGGAATGCTTGGGTGATAAGGTTTGATATACCCAAGCTGGTCTATTTCAGCTATAGGCTGTCTTGTTGAAATGGTTGAATAATATACTTATTAGCTGATCAGAAGTATAAACACACAAATGAATCAACGGTTATAATTTGATATTTTCTTTTACCTAATTCATTAAAATTATTTATATATCTCTTAGGCATTAGAGGAAGTTGGTATTTTGAAAAAGATAAAAAGATTTGCCGGTACTAGCGTCGGCTCTATAACGGCGACAATGGCTGCGCTTGGCTACAGTAGCACTGAAATTAGGGAAGTCATGTCGACGGATTTTTCGAAGTATTATGGTACTGCTCTTGAAAATATGTTTGATAATTAAAAGATTACAAACAATATATTTTGAATTTCCTGCTAATAAAAGAACTGAAGAATGGTAAACTTTTTTTTAATCGTACGAGGGTCATTCAAAAAATATGTAGACAATGTACCTCATCATTACATTATGTTTACAAAGTTAAATATCAGCACATTTTTATATGTAGAGACATATATTTTATAGACGTGTGAAGTTTCATTCCATTTGATTTGAAAGAACTCATGTTAGCCAATTTTAAAAGCAACATGTATTGTCACCATGGAGCACGGTTAAAAACATTCTTGCGTCAAAAAACAACGTCGAGAAAGTTTCTCAAACTCATTGTGCTTTTTCATTTTATACATGGGTTATATCGTATTCCTCATTCATAAAAATGTATCCATAACACTTGAAACCTTGTATGCAAACAATAATTCGAGTACCTTTAATAAGATTGTCAATGTTTTCAAATTCTTTACCGTGTAACTCTGCTTTCACAAATTCTGCAACAGTGAAGCCCACATCATGCCGTTACTAACTCTTTTGACAAGATTTTGAACTATAATGTGTTTCTTTGCAGACCGCTCATCGTCCAATTCAAAGTCTTTACCACTCAAAAATTGTGTGCTCCATTATCAACAAATACACGGCTAATTATATATATATATATATATATATATATATATATATATATATATATATATATATATATATATATATATATATATATATATATATATATATATATATATATTCCTGGTTTTATCAGCATTTTCGTAGTTTGTTTTAGAAGTTTCCAAATGCAAGACATAATTTTAGTGCTACTCCCTGCTCCGTGACGTCCTACGACGTTAAGATTTTTTGCTTTTTTTTCAATCAAGACTATCTGTCTCTAGAAATTGATATCTTTTAAACGGAGAAATGTATTACATTAACTTTTAGCTTCTGAAGTAATTAAACAATACTGAATTCAAATTTCATTTCGTTTTAGGACAATTTTAAAGAGGTATGGCTATAGATATGAAAAGAGTAAAATTAGTAAATAGCTAATTTTCTGATCCTGCTCCGTGACCCCATTTTTGCTGTCTTAAATCTTTGCTAGTTGTGATAAAAATCAAAATATTTTCCAATTTCTTTCCCCAATATATATGAATCTGTTGTTAAAATATATGTACCGAATTTGGTTTAAATATGACGTTAAATAAAGAAGTTATGACAAGAGTCTACGAACTTTTTGAATGACCCTCGTATATTTCTTTTTTGTTGTTCGTGTGATACATTTTATGAAGAAAAAATTCTCTGTGTATTTCATTTCTTATATACTGCTCGTTATCTCCATATCTTTCATCCAATATCATGATATTAAGGAGGTATTTTCTTTCTTTGTCCATAGATCAGTTATGAAGAGTTGGTTTCATTCATTGAAGAAACAGGGATCTCGGTGGTTCACAGAAGACTAGGGTTTGGTAGACAACAAGTGAATACACTTCTCTCTTTGCTACAGACCCTCTACAATACGATGTCACTGAATATTGTACGGATTTCAGTCAGAGTAAGTTAATATAAGAAAATATTCTATTTCTCTAAACCACTACATATTTTCAACGAAAGTTTTGTAGAAACAGACTATTGTATAGTGTTTATATATAAATATATCAAATAATTCCATTTGTTGTGTTTTTCTACTTAACCAACTATGAAATTGATTTCAATGTCTTTTTCACATACAATTATGCATAGAAATATAAAATAAAATTTTTGGCAAAGCCATATTTTTGCTGCTTATAAACTTGACATAATAAATAAATACACGCAATTCATAAAATATGACTACCTGACAAATCCTTGTGATTCATACACAGGTATTTCACACAAATTTTATAAACATTTTTTTAATTCAGTAATTGACATTTCTCGGTATGTTTTTACACCTTTCTCATAAATCTTTGTACTCTTTCTTTTGTCTTTTTCACCTGTCAAAATGGAGGTTGACAGATAATACTGCACAAATATAGCATAAATTGAATACCTATGAATTGTATACTTATTATCATAGGCTTCAGATGTCCCACGTACAGTTGGCTTGAACTCGCATTACATAGGAACCCTTACATTTGATTATACCAAAGAGGATGCTGATTTTGTTGGACAGGTAACATAATCGTGGAATATAGCTCTATGCTTTATCAAAGTACATTAAATACATTTGTATATTAAAAAGCTTTTCTGAAGATAACCGAAGGGCTTACACAAATTTTAGTTTCCATTTTAAGTTTACATTGCAATTGTAATAATGATAATAACATGTATATAGCGCCCTATTTAAAATAAATTACTCTAGGGCGCTGAACAGACAGTGTCTCTGATATACAAGTAGTTAAAAACTACATTGTACATAATATTCATAAAACCCTAAAACTTAGAATTATAGTACAAGATCGTTACTAAAATAAGAGTAAGCTAAAAGTATAAGGTGCAAAAATATTGCATATCGTCAACGTTTATTTTTACAGTGTATATTGAATTCTATGGAAATCGTTTTTCAAAATTCTATAGAGAACAAAGTAGAATTTAAATCTTGTATGTAATATGGTCCATTGTTTTGTCTATATCCCGATCTGGCGTAAGATAATGATATACAACATAGTTATGATATAATTAAAGCTCCTTAAAACAATTTCTTCTTTAAAAGTTTAACATTGATTTCAATGCGTGTGTAGATGTTGAAGAATCCATAGACCTCAAGCGTGAAAACAAAATAAACCGTTTAAGGGTAAAAATTGTCAACAATTTTTATATCGTGATAAACCCGTTTTCATGCCTTAACACAATTTTGTATTTGACATTATATCCTTTTGATCATGCTTTTGATGTGACTTCCGGAGTAGAGCGTCGTGTTATTTTAAATGAGATCGGAGGACTGATGTCAATTTTGTAATTTTGAAAATAACCATTAACTTGACTATAATTTAATTATAAATTAAGATATTAATATTGTTTGAAATATGTGAATGTTCATCTAACGAGCAAAGGATGTTTATTCATTTACATGTATTTATTTATTTTGTGTATTTATTTTCAGGAAAGTTATAATACAACAATGACATTTTTGAAGAATTTCATGGCAAAAATATTGATGGAAAGGAAAACCAAAGCATGAAGAATCACTGGATAATTGAAAAAAAAAACCCGCTTATGAAAAAAAAATGATATAGTGATTATTTGTATAAATTGTTGACCCTGTAGAATTTTCATTTTGATACTTATAAAATGTAACACACACTTGGTATTCTTAATATTTTACTCTTTTTTACTAATCTTTATTAAAAATGTATATCAAAGTTGTTCCGAATTTATAAGGGGTCAATTGAAAATGAGGAATAAACATTACACAGGATCAATAGTAAGCAAATGCATACCAAATTGAATACTAAATGCATCTTTACATGAATTAGAAGAAATCATATACATGTAGCTAAGAGGCAATGAGCTAGACATTTTCAATACATTTGACCCCTTTTCCTATTCACTGGTTTGTAGATGAAACCTTAGGCATTTAACCATCTCGGGGTTTATTTATTATTTATTTTATCACCACATTTTCTTGAGAAAGTACTTGAACATGTTCCTCATGTCCCTATATATATCAGAAATATTGAAGTTGTGGCCAATTTTTATCTTGGAATATGATAAATATTGTCTTGAATATATATGTTCAATAAGATTATGAGCATTTTATTTTTTACCAAAAAATGATGTCAAAAATTGTTTTAAAAAACGCTTTTCTAAAACTTTCTTTTTCTGTTAAAAATAAAAAAAATCGTCAACCTTTATTTTAAAGATAGTCGAAAATTTAACCGAAATAATAATAATAAAATTTAACTTCTAGTAGTAAAACAGTCATATGCAAAAAGGGCATTTGTTTTATTGAGACGAGTAAAATAACGTTGAATATGCGATCTTAACATTAAGATGAATCGCGACTATGGAAGTTAATATTTATTGATTGAGAACTTACTGAATATGACCAATTTAAAAGGAGTGTAGTAAACAGAAAATAATCAATTTCATTAAACCACAACATATTTTCAACAATATTGTCTTATTGAAACAGACTTTTTCATCATTTTAAAACTTTTAAATAGCTTTGTCAAAGGAAACCTCAGCAGTTGAACTTTGAATTTTCACGGTTAAATGCCAGGGTGAAGGTGAAACTAATTCCTTAAAACCACATTTCCTCGATGATTACACACCTTTGCAGATGGGATCGTCAATGAACTAAAAAGGTATATTTTTTAAAACTATCTAAAGGTCAATATTATATAGGTTAGTTGAAAATATTATCTTATAGTATTATTTTTCAAAATGATATATGTAGTTTTAACTTGACTCGTCATTATATTAGAATATTTTTCATTTGAAAGAAAAATCTCTATAATGTTTATTTTATTTCCGAAAACGTACATATTTTGATAGATATTATATATAAAACTGAGACCTCGGGCACCTTCGTTATCTCCGAAAAGGAGTCCAACTACCTTAAAAACATTGCTGAAGTAATATTATATCCCGAAACTTGATTTTTTATTTCTTGATTATAATAAAGTTAAAATAGCTTAATTGAATATTTGTGATTGTTATTCATTTGATAAAAAAAACATTTATTACTGTAAAATAAAGGAATATGAAAGATAAAAAAAATTATGAGAAAATGTGTTAATTTTTTTTTAAATGACATATATCATACATGTAGATACAGTAACGAACAGTAATTAAGTCCAAAAGTCCATTTAACCAAACCAATACGGAGCAGAGCAGACACGGACCTCTAAACATGAGTAATTTAATGAATTTTCTGAAGTTAAGAAATGTAACATGTTTTTCTTGTTTTTCAGACGTCATTCGACTTTTGCTGTAAAGAACATGATCGGCAACAGAAAGAACTGGGTAGAGCACTAAGATATAGCCCCAAGGCAAATAAAATATTATATTATATTAATTTACATTCGGTGATTTTTTTTTCTCTTTTGAAATCCATTGGAAATTTAAAATGCACATGAATCTAATAACAATGAAACTCTTAAAATGCATTGTTTATGCTCAGTGAAAATGAATATACCGGTAATCAACAACAGAAACTGGGTATTCAGAATCAGAAATTTTTATTTAAAGTCGGATTTTAAAAACAAATGACAAAGAATTTTGAAAACTTGCTGAAATGTGCTGAATTCAATAAATTGTATGAGAAATTCAAATTAGCAGAACATATTATAGTTTCAAAGTAGTTTATTCACAATTTTTGTTTTTATGACGTCATAAACTAGTCCGATTTTATGTTTTTTTCGGAAAGAGGACAAAATGGACAAAATTTCAACCACATTAGCTTTAAAATTTATAGAGCGCATGTTTGTTCAGGAACAATATTGACATATTTCATTGATATTATCATTCGACACATTATATCAAAATATTGATCCTGAACACACATGCGACTTTTACTCAAAATATCGACGAAAAATATACATTTTTCTGTAGAATTCATGAAAAACTGAAATTTACGTCATGTTTGTGACGTCATTACGTACATATGACGTCATTACTTAAGAATAAATTCAGTGCTTTGAAGTCGACATATACCCCTCTGTTTAAGAACTTAATTAAATATATCTCCATCAAAGTTTGATTTTGGGGGCAAATATTGGTTAGTACCGAATAAAGTTCTTTGAAAAGGTTTGTGTAGGTAGAACATCCTAAGAGTACGTTTTTCCATCAAAGTCCTTTGAATATGAAGCAAATCAGTCTTACTTCTATGTAATACCGTTTTTAATTTCATTACACTGCCACCACCAAATCTTTCAACGTCCTGGAGACAGTTTTCTGTCTAACGGTCATAACGAAGCTTATGCACTCTTAAAGAGACATGGGCACAATTTTCTACTGTAAACATTAAAAAAGGAAAAATCAATTTGAAACATTTTAGCTGAAACTGTGTCCATGTCCCTTTAAACTTTTTTAACAGGTTTTGCAATAAACATCATGGACTAGTAGCTAAACCAAAATGTTCAGCGGTGTTGCTGTGGCTATGCTCTGTTGATCTCAGATCTTTGAAGTCGATATTTGGAGTGTTGTGGTGTCGAAACAATGGCATGGATAATCCTCTGGCAATAATTTAATTATTGCATAGTCTTGTTAGATGTTTTGTGCAGTTCAGGGATACATGTAGCTAATGCTGTAAATGAGGACATTGTGAAATATTCATGAAATTAACGTAATCCTCTATTCAGCGATCCTGTGCTGCTGATGGCACATGTGGTCTGCCGTATTTTTTGCGAACATTGTTCGTCAAAGGTCAACATGTCTAAAAGATTATTTTTACAATAGCTCCAAAAACTATGTGTGGTATAAAGTCAAAACGTTTACAGTTTATAAATATATCATTGATTAATAGATAAAGTATCACTTGATAACAAATATTTTAAAAAGATTTTTTTTCGAGAAAAATTTTTATCAGAAAATGTGCATAGTTCTGTCCTTTTTGTGAAAATCATCATTGCAAAAATAATATATATTTATCATTGAAGGGCAAGTTGGACGTGAATGGTCTCTGAAAGGCTGTTATTGAAAGCATGACATGTATAAAGACAAGACCCTATAGAATCCACCATTTGCAATGTACTTTCACTTTCAAGTCTTAAAAAAATAAACAAGGAAAACAACTTTCCAGAGGTTATCCAAGTCCAACTTGGCTTTCATTGATGAACATATTTTATTTCTGCAATGATGGTTTTCACTAAAAGCACGGAATTAATTACGTGTATTTATTGAAAATATACGCATTTTTAAGAAGAATTTTTCTCAATATTTTTTCCAGGTATCTTATTTATTAAGCGACACTTCATCTATTAAGCGATGAAAACTTTATAGACTGTAAAAGTTTCAACTTTATATCTCACATAGTTTTGGGGCTATTGTAAAAATAATTTTTTGAACATGTTGACCTTTGACGAAACCTTAATGCTTTATGTTTTATAGGCTAAAAATGGTTTTTTGCGTAACATTAAAACCCTTCGCAATTTTAGACTGTGATACACATGCTTTCAGTTGGCCATTTTCCTTTTTATGCTATGCAACGTTCAGATGCAGCAGTTTTAGATAGCGTCAATTTTCAGATAAAACCAGAAACAAAATGTGGAGAACGTACTTTGTGCTAGAAGGAATTGCATCCGAAACCAGCAAATGAAAATTGAAATGATTTTTTCAGAATTTTTGCAAAATCAGGTCTATTTGTCTGTAAGATTTGAATAATGGCTGTACAGTTAACGATTGCCTAAAAAAACACATTTTGCTATAATAAATCATATACTGGCATCCATCTAAAATATTGAATGACAAAACTATCTTACATATTTCAGGGCTTAACGCTTCTACAATGCGTTTCTTCTTTTTGAAGAGTGTATACATATGTAGTTCAAAGTATTGAAAAGTAGCTTTCACACAAAAAAATGAAATTTGAAAAAAGGGAAATATGTCCATTTTCTTAACACGAAAATCTTATTTCGTGGGGGGGATAGGATAGAACTTCTATCAGTACCAGTTTTCATTTTTTTTTCAAACACTACCACTTACATGTACCTTTTTTGGACCTAAACTGCAACACGCCTGTTCAATGCCTACATTATGTCTATCTTTACAAAAAAATGTCGGGAAGGGGGGGGGTAAGCCCCCCGGTTCTGACGCCTATGTATATTACATGTATATGTATATATATATTTGCGCGAATGAACAATTTATCCGAACACCAGACTGAAGCAGCAAGAGTTTTTCAGGAGGATTCTGATGTCACACAGTACTTAGTTCAGGTGAAGGGTTTATTGTGAATAAAATCATTGATTTAGACACTTTTACATTCAAGAAAAAATAATTATGATTTTCTGAATGCTTTATCCTATTTATTTCAATATATATCAAATTATCAATGTGTTTTTTTGTTTCAGTCAGAGACTGCAATGGTTAATAATTTTATATATCTAATATGCGTTTACATTTATCATTTTCTTTTTAATTTTCTAAATCCCCTTAAACTCATTTATCAATAAAATACTTCCTCAAGAAACAAGACATTAAGATGTTAAAAGAAACGATATGCTTGGGATAGGGGATAAAGATGATCTCTGTTATATATTTATATAGGTATTCTA